ATGTGGACTTCAACTCCCAGAATTCCACAGCCAGCATAGCTGGCTGTGGAATTCTGGGAGTTGAAGTCCACATGCCTTAAAATTGTCAAGGTTGAGAAACACTGGATGGTGGGGAAGTTTCTTCAGCTCTGACTAGATAGTAATCAGAGCTGAAGAAGCTTCTTGGACGAGAAGCAAAAGGCATTTAAAGAAAAACAAGAAAGTCCAGTTGTCTCCTGAAAAAAGCCCCTTTGGGACAACCATGACCTGGATGACTGAGAATCTCCGTAGACAAACAGTGCAGTTGTTAAGTGAGCTCTGCCAGAATATATTTTGCTGTCTTGTCCTCTTGCATCTTGTAACATTTAACCTATAGTATAACCACTAAATAACCTATAGTCATCTACTGTAAGTTCATGAATTCTTTATTTCCAACAAATGTAGTGCTCACCCGAGCCCTGGTTTATTGTCCAATTAATTTTTTATATGTAAGAAGTAATTCTATAAAAATTGAAACTGATGTGCCAAATACATTTTTTTTTTAGAAAATGAAAGAAAAACTAGTATCTGCAGGAAGGCGCTTTGTTTGAAAATGTCTGACCTTGCTCAGAAAAAGAACCAAGCTACAGAGGAATAATAAGCAGTACAGATAGTTCTCACTTAACAATCATTTGTTCAGCAACCATTTAAAGCAACGGTTCCCAACCTTTCGGGCACCAGGGACTGGTTCTGTGGAAAAAGATTTATCCGCGGACTGGTGGGGGCATGCTTTCGTGTGCTGGCTGCATCCCATGGATGGGGCTTTGCTTGTTTCCGCAGCCCAGTTTCTGGCATGCCATGGACTGGTGCTGGTCCACAAACTGGGGGTTGGGGACCCCTGATTTAAAGTTATGATAAAACTGAACAAGTGGTAGCTCTGACTGGTCCTCAAAGATATGGCTGTTGCAACACATGAAGCCCATGTTCATGTGATCAAAACTGGAGCACTTGGCAACCTGCCTGAATTTAAAGACCACAATGTGCACTTCAACTCCCCCAACCTGCCTACCTCTCCCCATTTCTGCCCTTTTGCTCCACCCACTGTCACCTACTCCTGCCATGCACAGCTGACCTTTAATATCTTCCTCCTCCTGCTGTTTGGCCGAGGCAACTGCTGGCCCTTCATGAGGTCTCCAGTGGGGATCAGAGTGCAGGGTGACCAAAAGGGCAGAGATGAGGAAGAGATAAGCAGGTGTGTGACAGGACAGGAGAATCATGAGGTCCTTGCCTTATGACAATGCAGTCCTCACCTAATGACCACAACTGGAACTACTGGAACTGCCATCTCTAGGTAGTATGGTCATGAGATGTTTCATATAATGACTGCTTAGCTTAGTGATAGAACTCAGGTCCCAGTTAAAGTCATTAGTAAGGACAACTTGTAGCATAAAAAAGATGTTTCTCTATGGGCAATGTTACTTCTATAATTCTGCCTTCAAGCCTATGAAAATCTATTGTCCCAGGTCAGCTAAACTTAACTAGAACTAAATTGATATCTAAGAGGCTACTTGTTCTTAGTTACAATTTACTTGAATGGAAGGGAGTGAGGAGAGATTATCTATCCATGTCTAGTCTTAGATCTTCCAGCCAAATGAAAACATTGTCCATAATTCATAATATCTATGTATTATATTATTTGTAGCCAAGTTTCAAATAATCTTATAACTTCCTTCATAAAAATCAAGTTAAAATAAGACTGCATTGCTGTGATAGCAAAAATGTGATAAAATAAAAATGAACACGGTCTGAAGATAGAGTTGCTTCTCTTTCAAGACCAAAATGTGATGTGTATGATTTACTGAATATGATTTAACTGAAGTAAATTACTTCTGCAGAAAAGTCACAAAGGGAGATATGTGACTTATTAAATAACTAAAACTTTTGACAAAAATAAAAGAAATCTGATCCCCCTTTTAAAAATAATCCCTAAACCCACAGGCATTTACATTAGAGTGCCTATTTGCAATCAGAACAATAAAATGTTTGTTTAAATTATCTTTAAAATATATGTGGCAGTTTTGTGTAGAAGTAGTGCTATTTTTAAAGGAGGAGTCAGTTTGCTGATTCATTTATTTGTTTGTTTAATGAATTATTCAATTTATTTCCAGATGAAGAGAGCAGTCCTATATAACTGTATAATCACATTTCATATAAAAGGTCTTGGTCCCAAATCAGTGGGATGGGACTTCTGCTTTAAAAGTAGTTTTAAAAATGAATAAATGCTTATATTTTATACAAAAACATTCCCTACTTTGTTTCAAATGATCTCTAATTGGGTTAACTTTCATTAAAAAAAGAACAATCCTGGAAATTAAAATGTTATTTTTTTCACGAGATAAAGTGTATGGAAATTACCATTTAAAATCATACACATGGATCAAGATACAGGCATGTGCACTCACACAAACACACAATCATACATAACTTAGGCTCCATAAAATATTAGCCATACATTTTCAACTCTTTCTCATGGAGCTGCCCCCTTTTTTTCTTAGGTGTCCAAGTTCGAAATGGATTTCCATATAATCTTTTTCAGGACAGGAAATGAGAGATATGTTGTGAATTGAAAATATTTCATTGTGAAATCATCTTGATAATTTCACAATAATAGGCCTACGCAAGTGTGATCAGAATAACAGAATAGCAGAGTTGGAAGGGACCTTGGAGGTCTTCTAGTCCAACCCCTGCTCAAGGACAATATACAGTAGATTCAAGTTCTTTTGCTACCTCCCAGAGAAGGAGTTCCATACTTGAAGCTCTACTCACACTTAATGTGCTGGATTGGGATCTAAAACAGTATTTTTTGCAGTGCAATATCTAATTATCCCATCATGCAATGGACATGATACCATGTCCATTGCAACAAATGGAAGTTAAGTATGTGCTTAATATCATCCTTTATCTCCTAAGAGTCAATATATGTAAGTGTTAGTATTCATTTCAAATTTAATTTTCTTGTTTTAAATTGGGCTAGCCTCTCAGTTCATAAAATCTTTCCTTTCTATAATCTAAAAAGTTGAAAAGTTATGGCTAAACATATTTCAATTTTAAGTACAATCTCTACATGTGCAATTTGCTTATTGTAAAAACTTTTTTTATGGTTTGTTCTATGTCTTTGTTATTCAAGTACTTTCTCAAGCAGAACAATAGCACCACTTTGTATTGTTAACCAAAAACAGTAACAGGTAAAGCAAATTTTGCCACATATTTCTCTTTTCCACTCCGTGCATTTAGGCATCAACTTCATGAGCCCTTTCTAGAGTTGCATCCTGAACTGAGGACACTGTAGACCATAGGATCTCCAAGTTTCTTTCTGGTTCTAAGGTTTTAAAATATCATTGGTTGAAATTAAATTAAATTCAGTAGCTAATATTCAATTTTGGCTTGCCCTAAATTAAAATTCCTGAGCATATTGCCATATAAATAAGGTAGTACTGTACTAGGTTGCTATCTTAGCGAGGATAGTGTAGGGCAGTTGCTGTTTTCACATGTCAAAGGAAGTCAAGCTATAGTATCCTGCAGTCTTCTTTTTCTATCACAACCACACTACTTTTAAGAGTCTTGGGAAGCTCTTCCACTTTTCCTCCTTGTTGCTGAAAAGCCCCAATCTTTTCAAAGGTGGTTTTAAAATCGTAGCTTTTTCACAGTACCATGAATCGTAAATATCCTTTCTGTTGGATATTAGTACAGGTAGTCCTTGACTTACAACCACAACTGAGCCCAAAATTTCTGTTGTTAAGTGAGGTTTGTCCCATTTTACAACTTTTCTTGCCAAAGTTGTTAAGTGAATCTGGCTTTGACTTTGTTTCTCAGAAAGTTGCAAAAGGTGATCACATGACTCCAGGACACTGGAGTGTGAAAAACAGTCATAAGGCACTTTTTTTAAGTGCCATTGTAACTTCGAACAGTCACTAAATTAACTGTTGTAAGTCGAGGACTACTTGTATTACTCTTCGATATTAATGTTTTAATTAATTAGAAACCTTAAATCAATCATGCATCTCTTAACAAACTCTTCTACCTAACCTTTGCCATTGTCTCCACCTCATTTCAAATATGCTACTTTGCTTGTACCTCTTACAGTTTTGGTCAGACCTTTCATAAAACAAGCTACAGAATAGCACCATTGTACTATTAAAGAGATTTTACATACTGTTGGTTATATGTGTATGATTAATATGCTAAATTTCTACGTATTGCCTTATAAGGAAGAAAAAGACATGTTATTTATATTGCTGTGAATAAGTTATCTGAAAGTCACTGAGAATTTAAGAGAGCTCATATGTGCTCTCAGCTTACCTCGACAAAAATTATTATATTCTTCAAATTGCATATATTTCTATTTTCATCTGTTATAGGCAGGGGAATGACCATCTTAAAATCTAGACCCAGAAGCTTGTTTTAGATATGGGAGTTTGCACAGGGAGTTCCAATATATACAAGCTCTTTCTAGCTTTGCATAAGGATGCAATATGAGTGGTAACATCCTCAGTGGAAGAAAATAATGTTTTGCACATATGCAAGAACTCTCTATGGATCTTGGAACATATAAGGATCTCTGAGTGAGATTAACACATGAGACTCGTGTGCCGTTAAAAAGCTACTACGGTAGTGAAATTAATGTGTTAACTTTACTGCTGTTGCTACTGGGAATTTCAAACTGTGCAAATATAGAAGGGAAATCAAACAGTGTTATCAGACACTGCAAGACAAACAATCTGTTGCTTATCTAGAAGAACAAATATTTTAAAAAAAAGTAAAAAAAAAGTAAACTCCACTTAGATAAGGCTGGTGACTGACTCCAACAGCAGGGTTCATAAATTAATTTAGTGCAATTGAATCCACTAAAGGCTTTTACATTTGCAGCTCCCTTTGAGGGCAGAAGATTTTTACGAGGTGTGGGACTGTGACATTTTATAGCAGGAAGTGAACAATTACAGTAGCAATCTACCAGTCTCAGAAACCGTTTGAGCACTGAGTTGGCTTTCTGTTGATATGCATTGTTCCTAGGGAGAATGCCCATTAGTGGAGAATTCATCAAACTTATTGAACTCTAGCTTTGTCCAATGTCTGACTATTTACAGCAAAGTATCCTGCAGGTGGCACATTCATTCTTCACTCTTACGGGTGGAATTTTCTTACATTCTGTAGTTCTTGTTTCCTGTGCTTCCTCTACTTGTATTCTTCAAGTGCACTTCCTGAAAATAAAAGACATATTATTGTATAAGTGAACGCTGTTGACAGTCCTTGTGTCATTGAACACTGCAGCAGTTCTATTCCTATTTTTTTGAATGGGAAGATGAGCTAGTTTATATCAAGTGGCACAACTGAAATCTAGTCCATATTTAAATACTTAAAATTCTCTTCCATCATTTTTCTGCAAGCTAATAAAACACAGATTCAGAACAAACAATTCTTCTGGCTTTCGTCGATATTTTCTCTAGCATACACATGGCTTTTCTAAATACAATGTTTATTTAATAAAATTGCCCCCTTATGTACACCTTTTTGTGTGTAACATTTTGTAATATACAGCTTTTTGTCACTCAATTGTGTTAAAATTCATTACTATCACTGATGCTATGACAGATTTTGCATTGATTGAGTATAGCATTTCATGCTAAACAAAAAGTCCTAATCCTGAAACTGTAAGTTTATCTACTGTATAAATTTTATTTTTCAATTATGGTGGTTTGGATCTATGGGAGATATAGTATATTACATCTGCATTGCTTCTAGTTTGGGAAGCGTGCTCTACAACATTTTGTTTTTATAACATTTTTCTTTTAATGTTGATTTTTTACATTTGGGTTTTTTTCCCTGTTGTTTATTTTATTGTTGTTCACCACCCAGAGTTGCTTTTGTGAGATGAACGGCTGTTTAAATTTGATTATAAATAAATTTATAAATACTAACTGGAAGCAGTTTCCTTGGTAGAGTTTGTCTTTTCCCATTATTTGCCTGTATGGTTAAACTGTGTTAACTTCCATTTTTTCCAAGGTAATTTACTATATTTGGAAATACATCAGGATTTAATTCAGAATTTGCAAGGGACAGTTTCACCATGCCAGTTTCAGTCCTATTCTGACTCACAGATTGCAATCTAAGACTATATTGAAGCCATAGAACAGAAATAGGGACCTGGGGGCTACCAGATATTGTCAACAATGTGAAAGAGAGTTTCCTATTCCTGTCCTAAGGAATTAGGCCGGAAAGTAGGGGCTGCAGTGGCTCATGTGGTTAGAATGCTGAATCAGAAGACCACTGAGAGGTCAACAGCTTCACAGTTCAAACCCGAGAGCAGGAGCCACATGATGGAATAAGCCCCCTCAATTTGTCCCAGCTCTTGCCTACCTAGCAGTTCAAAAGCATGCAAATGAAAGTAGATAAATAGGTACCAATTCAGTTAGAAAATAACAGGGACCTGAAAGGACCCCCCTCAGGTGTCCCCTAGGCAACGGTGATGTCCCTGGCTAATCCTTTCAACCTGGAAGCACCAACATGAATGTAGTATATGTAGGAGACGATCAGGCTGAGCCTGAGAGAGGAGCCAAATGCATCACAAGAGATCTAAGTCCACCTTGAATTCCTTTTTATTCTTAACTCCTGCTAATTTCCCTTGACCGTGAGTAGTTCAGATTATTGTAGAGACCTTCATCTTACAATAAAACTTTATACACATTTGAACTGCCTGAATCTCCTGATTTCCCTGGAGCTTAACATTAATCTGAACCAATAGAAAGAAATTCAAGGTGAGCTGGACTTAGATCTCATGGGCAGAGACTCCTCCCTCGGGCTAAGCCTGGTCATCTCCTACTGTATAGTAAGCCAGGAGGTAGGTAGACTGATAGAGTTGGAGTTGTTAAAGTTGTTAGAGTTAACATTTAAAAGCCACTTACAGATTTCAAGCTGCTATGCTCCAAAATTAAGACTATTACATATGAATCTCCCATTATAATAACAAAAAAATCTCTTTTCTGGGCATGTAGCTGAGGATTAGTTGAAATGTGTAGAAAAATGGTTCCTATGAGACTATGCCAATCTCCTGGTTGTTTAGCTGCAGCTATTTTTGTCTGCAATGGAAAACCTTGTACAACAAACTATAACAAAGTTATAACAAGTTTAATTTGTGAAATGATATGATAGTGTGTGTCCAGTAATAACACTGTATTGAATTTTGAATGCTATTCCTTGGAGAATATAAACTTAACCTGACAAAGCATTATATGTTAGCCACTAATAACATAAAAGTCAGTGTAATATAATAGTTAAGGTGCTGGAGCAGAATTAAAGAGATCCAGGTTGAAACCCACCTCAACTATAGAAATTCATTGAGCAATGATTTGTCACCCCAAATCTTGTTGTGGGGAAAAACAAAGAGAGAATGCCATGTATATCACTAAATTCCTGAAGGAAAGTTTTAATATAAATTTCACAAATGTGCTTTATTTTATCCAGTGCTTTATTTTGTCTTTGCCTTGGTTATCTTCAGTTTTGACACTGCAGCATGATTCACCTGGGGCTGTCCTTGAAAACACACAAAAGTTTAAATTGGTGCAAAATGCAGCACCTAGTTTGCAGAAGCTGAAGAAAATACCGACATCATATTAACTCTGAACTGAAATATTTTCACTGTTTACCATGTGCTTACCAGGCACAAGTTAAGCTGTGGATATTTAAAGCACTGCTTAAAATCTGATTGTACAAATTAAATTCTTTCTTTTTAACACTTAGGAGAGAATGTTCACCCACATTAGTTGCCTTTGATGAGATGGGCGGCATATAAATAAATAGTTTAATAAATAAATTACTCCCACTTAATGGAATGAAGTCCTTTAGATGTTTGGTTTTCACTCTTTAAGCCATTAAAAATCCTGTAAGGTGGCAGATGTTTTATCACATTTTTAATTTTTAAATAATTGAGCAATAATTTTAACTAAAATTTTAACTTTCCCTCTTTTTAGAAAATGTTATTGCCTTTTATTAAATTTGTGAGTCAGTTTGAATGCGCATTAGAATATAAAGCAGAGTACAATTAGAATGAAGAAAGAAGCAAAATAAAAAAGCGAGTTTGGTCTAATTAGCCCTGTTTCTGACTAACATGAATACTTGAGACATTTTAAAATCAGTAGAAGCATCTGGTTTGTTTTCTGGCATTACTCCAGGAGTCTTCAAACTTGGCCCTTTTATGACTTGTGGACTTCAACTCCCATAATTCGTCAGCCAGTGTGCCTGGCTGAGGAATTCTGGAAATTAAAGTCCACAAGTCATAAAAGGGCCAAGTTTGAAGACCCTGCATTACTCTAATGAGAGAGACTTCTCTGTCTGCTAGTGGTATTAACAGAATACAATCATTTCTGACTTTGGTCTTATTCCATCAGTTGATTTTCATAAAGAGACCTCCTTGCATTCCAACCAACAAGCTGAGCCTTATTGTAATGGTAGCCAAGCTGCCCCAAAGGCCACAGCTGAATCCTCATGACTTCAAAAGATTGTTAAAAGAAGCCAATTTATTTATTTTACTAATTTAAATTCTAGACCACTCTAAAGCCTGGGGAAAATTTAAAAAGTAAAACTGACTCTAAAATGTTCAGATAAAAATCAGTTGTAAGATCAGTGCTTGATCCCATGTGTAGGCAGCAGCAGAAGTAAATCCCGCTGATTTCAGCGAGACTTACTTTGAGATGACTACATTGGACAGAAGCCTAAGAAAAGAACATAAGAACAGAGAGTCCTGTTGGATCAGCCTATGTCCCTTCTAGTCCAGCATTCAGTGTCACACAATGGTCAACCACAGGCATTTCATAAACATGGACAGAAAGGTGATGGCAATACAAAAATGGACAACAAAGTTTATGAAAGTTAGTTGGGACTAGAGACTTTTAGTAAACTATCCTTTGCAAAGTTCAAGGATGACTACCAGCCATTAAGTAGCTAAAGCAGCATTATTTCTTTATTTATTTATTTATTTATTTTTCATAATTTATATGCCGCCCTTCTCCCCACGGGACTCAGGGCGGCTCACAGCATATTAAAATAACACAATACAAACAACACACACAACATTTCCCCTATAAAAGCCAATTAAAAACCAAATATTTGTAGCTGTGACATTATTAAAATCATTAAAAATTATCCCTATTTAAAATTCNTCTTGAGGGCGCGGCGGAAGGTTAGGAGATCCGGGATTGTCCGGATCTCGGGGGGTAGCTCGTTCCAGAGGGTGGGGGCACCCACAGAGAAGGCCCTCCCCCTGGGGGTCGCCAGCCGACATTGCTTGGCCGACGGCACCCTGAGGAGGCCCGCTCTGTGGGAGCGTACCGGTCTGTGGGAGGGAATCTGTGGCAGAATTTCTTCCTAAAAGATGATATCAACACACATATAAGCAATCCTTAGAGAGTAAATCATAAGCGGAGGGCAATACTTTCTAAAGTACCCAATGACTTGCTTCTCAGCAAGAGTGTCAAGTCTTTTGAGATAGAGGAAAGAAAGCTAGATAGGAATGGGGAAATAATGTGGCTAATTAGAAAAAAAAGTCAGGCACGGCTACAATAAACCAGGATGTTTCAAAATAACACTGATAATTTATCAGGAGCTACTAATAGAGAAAGAAAAAGAAGGCAAAGACATAGATGAGATAAAGAGATGTGGAATGTACAGTTATATCTGTGGCTCTCTTCTGATGTCTTCTGTTCCATTTCTGTTTAATATTGGAAGACTACAGTATTTTGGAAATGAAAGCTGCCCATAGATATCAAATTTGGATTTCTGGCACTGAGCAACCATATGTCCATCCCATGCTTGGAGCAATGCTGAAAATCCTCATATGTAACAAATAATCAGATAAAATTTGATTACACTTTAGCTACCTTTTGTGCTTTAGGCATATCAGTGTGTCGCTGAGCACGTAGAGATCGTGCAGATTTAGGTGGCTTGACAGGAGCACAGTACATCTCCAGCCGTATCAGGTCACAGCTCTGAAAACAGCATTCATCCACTATTCCCCTAGTAGAAGAGGAACGTCTATTGCTTCCATAACCTGCTGGTTTACCTAAAGGGAACAAAAAGTGGTCATTGTAAAAGAAATAACACAATCTTTAACATTCTGCTAATATTACAATATGATTAGGTGCATTGTACCACAGAATAAGAAACACAGAGCAAATTCTATTGTATCCTTTATTGGATCAATGTGCTAGCAATAACTTACAGAACTATAGGAGTAGCCAAGTCTCCTAATTTATTAACATATTTCTCCCCCATTCACTCTGGCCAGCCCAACCCAGAGCAACATCACTAACCTCACAGCTATCCCAAAGCATCATAACCCATTATAACATCCATACATTACAATAAAAACACAAGAAGTAAAACTCAAATATTTATAGATTCAATAATAAAGTATCCAAACTACAGTCTAAAATAACAGCTTCTGAGTAGAAGAATAAGTATTTAATGTTGTCTTCAAGCAAGATGGAGAGGGGCCCATCCTAATAATGACAGGGAGAGAATTTTTCAAAAAATGGTACCACTCTTCTCTTAGCTGATTCTAGACAAACCTACCTCTTGACTACCACCCATGACAAGAGGACAATCAGACGTCCTAATTCACCACATAGGGAGAAGTTATTCCTTCAAATAGCTGGGTCCCAAAAGTTTTATATGGATTTATATTTTTACACCTTGAATTTAACTCAGAAAACTACAGAGGGTAGTGAGTAGGTATCACATATTGCTGAGAAATACTAAGCAGAAGTCCTGCTGCTGCATTCTGAATTCACTACAACTTCCAAGAGCATGTCTAGGTAGATGCATTTCACCAATTTAATCTAATTTGAAGATAACAATGGATGTTGACTTTATATTAAACAGAATGATTTTTTGTTTAAAGAGTAGTCCAATCCTAACCCGCTTAATCTTTAAAATTAAGAAAAAGTATGAGAAGAAAAAGCAGGGGCCTTGAAGTATTCAGACTGAAGTAGCTTATAAGAGGAAATATGTGGTCCTTCAAAATTCTAACCCTAAATTTTGGGAGTAAGTTGGGCTCCTACTGGATCCAAAATCTGTAAGACAGCAGTTGTGCCTGATAGTGCTCCCACTTTTAATAGTATGTACTAAACCCCTGTTAATCTGGCTTAGAAAATACAAAGCTGAACAATTCTTACTTTGGTTTTGATTATGACACTTTTTCCTAACAGTGTGAAAACATATATTTATCATTTTGTCTCTTGTATCCACATAGTGGATTAAACTGCCATAAAACCATCTCGCTAAAACCCGGGTGGATATAAGACATGTTTCTGCTTACACAATAAACAGCACTTGTCAGCAAGTACACTGACAGAGTACCCAAGATAAGTGAAGTGGTTTTGGCCTCTGAGAATGAAAATCCCTCATATCCCTTCCCTTGGCAGTGAAAATATGATCAAGTAAACATTATGCTTTCATAAGACTTCAAATGAGCTAGAACAGCAAAGTTTAATGGCTTTACTGTTGCTAATTAAAAGGCTGGACCCTGATGCAACAAACTGGGCTATAATCATATGTGTACAATATATACATTTGTGTGTATGTATATATGTTTGTATATGTGTCTGTGTATGTATATGTATATGTACCATTATATGTCATGACAGTTACAAATCAAGGCACCTGTGTGACCAACCCAATTTTATGACATTTTTTGTGATTTTTAAATGAATGCGGTGGTCGTTAAGTGAACAGCAGTTGATAAGCAAACCCATTAGCAGTGGGCATTTTTTGCTGGAAACCAGTAGTAAACATTGGTTTCTGGCAAAAATGTCATAAATTGTTGTCATATGACTATGGGATCCTGCAAACAGTCGTAAATGTGACTGCTCAAAATGCAATCATATGACCACTGGAAGGGGTGCTGGTGGTCAGAACTTTGAATAGTTACTAAGTCAAGGACTACCTGCATATTCATATCTGTATACTGTGTTTCCCTGGAAATAAGATCGGGTCTTATTTTTGCCTCCAAAAGTGGCACCAGGTCTTGTTTTGGGGGAATGTCTTACTTACCTCTGGCACCGACAGCAGGTCCACTTCTTCTAGGGCTGAAGGAGCAGCTTCATTCTGCAGCTGCATTGCAGCCTGCATTTTGCAGTTAGGCTTTTCCAGAAGGCATATGCAGCTGAGTACTGAGCTATGTCTTGAATCCATAGCTCAGTTCTTGGCTGCACAGACCTTCCAGAAAGGCCTGTGACTGAGAAATGCAGGCCTAGCTGTAGAAGATGCCTCAGAAGAAGTGGGCCAGTGAGGAGAGGCCTGGCTGCCAGGTAAGTGGGTGCGGGGCACGTGGGCTAGCTCCACACCCCTACCCCCACCCTAGCTTCATTTTTAAGTATGCGGCTTGCCCCAAAAATAGGGCTTATTTTTGGGATAGGGCTTATATTAGGTCCAGCCTCAAAAATCAAGCTAGGTACCTACTCAGACCCCTCCACATAATACATATACATACATGTGTTTTTCAAAATTTGGATTGCTAACAAAGAATTAAGGGAGAACTGGAATAGCCATTTCGAACTTTTTAGTTCTTTTCAACCAGACATACCCTTCTGAGATTCGAACCTGGGCTGTCTGCATGTTAGGCAGATGTATTAACCTCTAGGGCACAGGTTCTTTCTCACTTTGTCAGCTATGAGACAGGGAAGAAGAATTATCTTGAGTCTGGTGCACCCTGTCGGCCCAAATATGGGAGAAAGGAATCTTTTGCCTGTATTTGGGCCGACAGGGTGCACCAAACTCAAGATAATTCTTCTCCCCACAGAGTATCGACTGTTTCACTCTTTCTTGGACACCGGATCTCCAATTATGTAGACGGATTGTACGTCTGTCGGGTCCAAGCTTAGAGTCTTCCCATACAGACCAACTTTTCTTGATTTTTCAAGCTTTACCGATAAGGTCAAGAGGGAATTTTCTTTGTTAGCAATCCAAATTTTGAAAAACACATATAATGTCGCAGATGCGACTGCTAAGCCTGCGGATGGCTCTAGTTTGAGCTGTTACAGGCAAAAGATTCCTTTCTCCCATATTTGGGCCGACAGGGTGCACCAAACTCAAGATAATACATACATGTATATACATACATGCATATTTAGGAATTCTGTAAATTCCACTGAATCCTGGAAATGTGAACAAATAATATGTAAAGAGGGAGATGGATGGTTAAGAGATATGAAATATAAATAAATAAATAAATATTCCAAGAGTATCTGTTTAATAGATCATAACCTTTCTATTAATAAAATAAACATGACTATTTAGTCAGCAGGGCCCTTCAAACTATTTGCTTGATAAAGTCCAATAGATTTGAAAAGGATATATAAAAAAGATATTTATTTTGAATTTTACAAGTCAGTGAATTCCTCTAGTAGTATATAACATAACCATAGAGTAAGACCATGCACTGCTGTTAGGATATGTGCCATGATTATAAGAAGAAAAATGGTATCAAACTAGTCATCTTAGTTAAGAGCCAAACAACACAAGACACTTGGAAATCTTTCACTAGATTTGTTTTTAAAGCAATATTGGTGTGGGACTAAATCAAATTGGATGGTCTGTTAGGAGCCACATTTTTACTTCCAAATTTTCCTTCTCTTCTTCTTCCCTCCCCTCTTCTGGAAGCTACTATATGCCCCCAGAGAAAAATATATGTCCACTCAGCAGGTTTTTCCACATGAACAAAAAAAGTAGCATGCAAAATTATTTCATACCACTAAACTGCAGCAGAATCTTGCTGTGACATATCTTGCTGTTTATTGTTCCAATTAATTATGCCTTATTTCAGGATATTCTATTCTATGTCTCTTCCTATTCAATTCAAATCTTTCCCGTTCAACAAATCCCTAAGCATTCAGTGTTCATTACGTATATTCAAATGTCATAAATGGCATTGAACTTTAATTGGGTTAACAATATTAACCCACTGAATCAAACCACGCAAATCTAATTCCTATTAAAACAATTCTACTTTGCAGAATTTTTGCAGGGTGTCCAGGATCAAGATCAATGGCCTTTGTCTGAGTTAATGTTTGTTATTCAAATAATTTATCTTGAAACTGGCTTTGCTGGGAAGGGCCAACTGGCTTAGGACATCACTGTCTCTGTGCCTAGAACTATTCTACGCAACTGAAAATTAAACCTGAGGTAGAAGCATGTTGGTTTAATGTTTATATGATTCCTCTGACATCTGGAGAGATCAACATTTTTATACCAAGATCAGGCACATGGAAAAATTACTTGCAAGATGTAGTTTTGAATGGTTGATCAGTTTTATTGTTCAAAGTATTCAGGCAACGGGAGCTCAATATAAGATATTATATGTGTATAATTAAAATTTTCTACCTGGATTTGGGGAGATTATACAATGGGGTAGATATTCTGGTTATAAAATTGAAATATAACTAATATTTTGTGAACAACAATATGGTGTCCATGGAAATATGTAAAAGCAAACTTGTTTTTATTCAGATTTCATTACTTATTTACTTCTGGAAAAATAACGTTTGTGATAAATTTGAACCTTTCTGCATGTATAACATGGATTAATGATGGCAATTTTAATACCTATAGGGAGGAGAACATCTTGTAAAAATGAATATTACCTCAGGATTGGAATATATTTTAAGAGAGTCATCTATGTTAATTCCACTTAGATATCTTAAAATAATTATTGGTGTTTGTTAGGAATCTAAATTTTGATTCCTATTCCCATGAGAAACTGATCCTTTGGAATAATTCTTATTTAAAATGGGAGGTAAAATCTCTTTTGTGTAAAGGATGAAAATAATAGGTATTCTTGAGGTTCTTCAAGCTCATCTTTGAACTGGCAAATCTGAAATAATCTGGAGGACTAATGGATGTCAGCATCTATGAAAATTTTGAGGCGTCATTGGTTCTCTCTGAGCTTGCTTGTTTTCTTGCAGACGTTTCATTACCCAAACTAGGTAACATCACAGGTGCTAAATTTTTCATTGAACATGCATCTGGCCACTCTATCCCCTGCCGAAAGGTCTTCTTGGGTGA